ATTCCCTTGCTACATTCACCTGTCCGTCTGCCTGTATCTGTCTGCGCCTGGGTTCCCAGACCCCACCGTGACAGACCTGTCCCAAACATTAAGCAAAGCAGCTGAAGTAGCCAAAGGTCATAACAGATTTATCAGATGAACCATGACAGAAGGTTGGGACTGATCTGTTTCACCTAGGTGGAAAAAATGACCTGCTGGTGATAGACTCTTTCAAACGATCCTGAGATCGCACTGCTTCCCAGCATGTCTGCTACTTGCGTTATTAAACACGTGAAGTCAATATTTGCAAGACATGGAAACCGACAGGTTGTCTACAGTGACCCTGTTACAGCTGCAGAGAGTTCCAAGCCTTTGCTGAGTATTAATTTAAACATGTGACCTCGAGCCCTCTGTATGCTCAGTCAAATAGTAAAGATGAGAAAGGAGTTCACATAATTTTTATTTATTTTTTTTTTATTTTATTGTTTATTTGATGTGGACATCACAATCACATTGGACAGACCAGATGCTTTGTTTGAGTGTTTTAGCACATGTGCTAATTCGCAACACTTGATCAACTTGAATCAACATGGCATGAAACATGACAGATCTCCTGCTGAGATTTTGATGGGATAACTGCTATGTGCCACTCTCCTCTACACAGCAAAAAAGAAACATAGAAAGTTGAGACACAAACTCAAAAACTTTCAGAAGAGACAAAAAGTGAACAATGACAAGCTGTCACGACATGTGGTGCCACTGTCCAGATGACACTGTAAGAGTGGAAGACTCAAACCCCTGGAGCAAGAAGGCTACCGTTTTGGAGGAAGTCAGTCCAAGGACTTATACGGTCAGGACAGAGGATGGCCAAGTCCTGAGAAGGAACAGGAGAAGTCTGCTGAAAACATCAGATACTACAAATGGAGCTGACACTGCATCAGCTGACCCACCCCCCCCAGTGACTGATAGCATGTCAGCTGAGTAGACTCAACCGTTGTCCGTGCTGAGTAGATCTGCACGTAATGTTAAACCACCTGTTCGACTGAATTTCTGAAATTAACAATGTGTCATTGAATGATGAGAATGCTAACAGGAAAGGTTGTGTTCATTTATTGTCTTTGCACAAACAGATTGTATTTTGGAATTGCATTACACTGCTAGTTTTACACAGTATTTTCAGTCTAAACCAGGGGTGTCGAATCCTGGTCTAAACAAAGGGGATGTGGTGATAAGTGTTTCTGATTTGAGCCAGGAGGTGGCACTGCAGGATGAGTTCCACAGGTGAGAGTTGTTGTCACTCTTCTGGTTGATAGACTGATGCACATATGTTACTGTGGATGCTAGCTCCCTGTGCTGCAAGTGGTTATTAAAGAGCCTGTTTGTTACTCAAACCCACACTCTTGTTATGTTTCTTAAACATAACAAATTTGAAGCATACAGCAACAGCCTGGTGTTGTGTAGTGCTCTGAGTGTGGCTTTTACAGAGAGTAGTTTGCAGGTAGATCGCCACAGGTGTCCTCACTCAGGTCATTATCCAATCCCCAGCATTTGTGCACATTCCACAGTCACACACCTCACACACGCCCCGATGAAGAAGGAAAAGAGGGAAAAGGAGAGGAAGGGAATAGGCTGCCACTAAGCAGAGCTGGAAGTGGCTGGCATGACAACATCTTGTCTTGTCCACAACCTACAGATTTTTAGTTTAAAATCGTAGGCCAGAAGCCAGAAAAATGTCTTAAGAAGCTGTAATGAATTAACTTTTTTTTAATACAATACGAATATACTCATCAAATCAAAATGCCCACTGATTAATTTATTTGTCGACAACAAATTGCTAAACCCATATATCGTTCGACTGTTGCACCTCTAATGCAACGTCAGTTTCCATGACAGCTGATGGTACTACAGATGACATCTTTATTTTAAGATCTGAGAGCACAATAGTAATGAACATTTGATGCAATTTAAAGGCATTGCTAATATAACATATTCCATAAGCAGGTCTTAAGTAACTTAGAACTGAGACACTTTCATCATTAGAGCTCAACACAATGAGTCACTATCTATTTCCCCTTCAACAAAATAAGAAAAAGTAATGGTGATGGATTGTATGTGTCCAAGATATGTAATATTCTGGTGCACAAATCTTCAGAGCAGAGAGTCATCTATCAAGAGGCTGGAGGCTTGGAGACAGGACTTGCATGAAAACATCAACATAGAGAATTAGGAAAGGGCATCCACTAAAGCTTAATCACAAATCATTAACACATTCCTCAAATTACTGCAGCATAATTGACTGATGCAAACACACCCCAGAAAACGCTTTTAAAATACAATAGTTCTGCTGTATCTGATACCTCCATTAAGTGTGGAAAGGATAAAAGTACACTTTACCACTTTGTGTATATATATATATGTATGTCTTATTACCTTCTTAAAAGCCAGAAGTTTACATACACTAAGATTGTTATACCTTCAAACTACTTGGGAAAGCCCAGATGATGATGTCATGACTTGGAAGCTTTTGATAGGTTAATTGACAACATTTGAAATAATTGGAGGCACACCTGTCACACCACCTCAAACACACTGCTTCCATTTGTGACAACATGGGAAAACCTAAAGAAATCAGCGGAGATGTTGTCAGGAAGAGAATTGTGGACTTCCACAAGTCTGGTTCATCCTTGGGTACAATTTCCAGATGCTTGAAGGTTCTACGTTCATCTGTTCAAACAATTATACGCAATTATAAACACCATGGGAATGTCCAGCCATCTTAGTGTCCCAAAGATGAAGTGTTTTGGTGAGACATGTGCATATCAACCCCAGAACAAAAGCTAAAGATCTTGTGAAGATGCTGCTGAAGCTGGTAAGAGAGTGTCATTACCCACAGTTCAAGTTCAAAACTCTTTAATATCCCCGTGGGGAAATTTTTGTGCAGCCAGCAATGAGACAGTCACTGCCACAATCACATATGCAACAAAAACAACAAAAAACAACAGAGAAAAGACAAGACCGATCACTTGTTTAACAGGGAAATAGCAGCAGGGACAAAAGAAATGTCCCTGCTGCCAGTCCTGTACCGACATGGGCTGAAAGGCTTCTCAGAGAAGAAGAAGACATTACTCCAAAAGCAACATAAAAAAAAGCCAGATTACAGTATACAAATGGACACAGGGATAAAGACCTTCATTTTTGGAGACATGTCCTGTGGTCTGATGAAACTACAACTGAACTGTTATAACGACCATCGTTACATTTGGAGGAAAAAGGGGGAAGCTTGAAGCCTGAGAACACCATCCCAACTGTGAAGTATGGAGGTGGCAGCATCATGTTGTAGGGGTGTTTTGCTGCGGGAGGGACTGGTGCACTTCACAACATAGATGGCATCATGAGGAAAGAACATTATGTGGAAATATTGAAGCAACATCTCAAGACATCAGCCAGGAAGTTAAAGCTTGGACACAAATGGGTCTTCAAATGAACAATGACCCTAGCATACAGCCAGATTAGTTACAAAGAGGCTTCAGGACAACAAAGTCAATGTTTTGGAGTGGCCATCACAAAGACCTGATCTCAATCCTGTAGACAATTTGTGGGCAGAGCTGACAAGAGGCAGCCAACGAACCTGACTCAGTTCCACCAGTTCTGTCATGAGGAATGAGCCAGAATTCATCAAACTATTGTGAGAAGCTTGTGGAAGGAAACCCAAAACGTTTGACTCAAGTCATACAGTTTAAAGGCAATGCTACCAAATACTAAGGAAATGTATGTGAACTTCTGACTTTGAAGAAAGTAATAAAAAGTTCTCTAAAAAATTTCTCTCTCTCATTATTCTCATTATTTAACAAATAGAAATAATTTTGGTAAGCCTAACTGACCTAAAACAAGATAGGTTTAGTTACGCTTAATGTCAAATTGTAAGGAAAAAAAGGTCATGTGTATGTTTATACAGTGTATGTAAACTTCTGGTTTCAACTGAAGCGAGATTAGTGGGTTATTGAGGTATATTGAGCTTAAAGTCAGAGTTTTCATGGCAAGAAGGTGTCTCTCTTTGAACCTACTAGCTCTCCATGGTAACTTCAGCTGCAGAGCTAACCTGCTCGGGAGCAGGTTATGTTCAAAGTTTTGGGTTTAAATCGTCCAAAAGAAGCGTCTCTCTTTAATCACATTGTTTCCTGATGATTCTCTATGAGTGATACAGATTCTCAGCTGAGGATGGGTTTTATCTGCAAACATGTTGAACTGTGCGTTACTAAAATCACTGAATGAAAATGTGCAGTTACAGTATCACACACTGTATGTATCATGTCGCCATGGGAACCACACATGTATTAGTTGGTGATGCAGAAATCGTGTAAATATGTTTTTATGTTTGGCTCTGATTCGCTGTCAGGTCCGTTTACTCAGCTGGTATTGCAGCTGATAGAACACAGGTTAGAAAATGGATTATTCTACTGGTATTTATTACAGAGAATATTCAATCAACAACATTAATTTCACTTTGATTTGGCCAGAAATTGAAGTGATATCCCGCATTATGGGACAGTCAGACCTAAATGTACTTCTATACAAGATCATGTTTAATTATATAAAGTTTAAAGTTTAACTACATATGGTTCAAATTTGATTTAGGGAACTATTCCACTACTAGTCCAATATTGCAGATTGTGATTCACAGTCATTGTGATACAGTCAAAATTTTAATTCAATTAATTTCCAGCCTGCTGTATTATATTATCCTTAGGGTCTCCTGCAACGATTAAAATAAAGTCCTGTCATTCCACACAACACGTGAAAATGACAATGAACATACAATGCTAAGCAGCTAAGAAGCTCAAAAAAGTGAAGATGCTACTGTGATAGAATCAGTGCTGACTGTGGGTGAAGGTTAAGGGGGTTAGTCCGGCTTAGTTATATAAAGCAAGTGTACAGGATTGGTGGCCTAAACTGAGCATGCGCAGAGCGCCGAACCTACCAGCATAATAAACTGAGGCTGTTTACGAAATTTAAAGTGACAATTGAGCTGTAAGGAAAAGTAAAGCGTCCTGTGAAGAGTGGAGGTGAGTTAGTGTGTTGCTGACTCGGTTGTGTCTGCGCGGTGTGTGTTTGAGTGTGTGTGTGACTTTCTGGGATTTTCTCTAAGCGCTTATGGAATTAGGAGGCAGAAACGAGGACGGCTGTAGCATCTGCTGGAGTGGAAAGCGGGCACGCATTAAATGTGGACAGGCGTTAGTACATCCAGTGTTCATGGCTTCATTGTGAGCGCAGACAACACTGGCCGTCGCTGGAGGCTCGCTGCAGGCGACGAGCTGCGCGCAGTTTTGTAGTTCTTACCGAGAACAAAATGTTCAACATTCAGCAGCCCGTCCGAACATGGAACTCCTGCTGGATTACATTTCCACATTTGCGCCTAAACGTGTGCTGTGCCATCTGTAAACTATAAGTTAACAAATAGATTAAAAATACGACTTTTATTGAACCTTTTAGTTCAACTGCTGAGAACGATTTTTTCCATACTACTTTTTATTTTTGAATTGTGACACAGTTATACAGTTACAATAATATTCACAACTAAACAAAGAAGGGCAAATTTAACCCCCCCCCCCTTCTCCCCCCCCCCCCCCCCCCCCCCCCCCCCCCCACCTTTGACTTTGGTACAGTTTGTTCCCTTTAACTTGTTTTAAATAGTGAAATTTAGTTCTTGAAGAAAGACTTGCTTCTGTCCACCATCTTTGGTTAGATAGTTGAAGTGTTAATGAAATAAAGCACTCTGTCTTTTTTTACAGCATTAACTGAAGGAAAAGGAAGCCCTCCAGTGTAGCCCACTGTCACCCACTTTCTATTTGCCTCATGTTATGGGAACAACATGTACCAAAAGTCAAAGGGCTGCAGCCAGGGGCAGAGCCAGGGGTGGCCCGGGACCATGGACTGAAGTGTGACTGTCCCTCGTTATCATGCTGCAATAGAGATAAAAAAAAATGCCCTGGCTTGTATTTATTTCTTTAAACTAATCACAGTCTTATTTGTTTGGCGTCAGGGTTGACGTTGCACAATCCAGTTCTTCAGCAAACCTCGACATTTTGAAGTTGTTCTTGACCAAAGTGAAGGGGGATTAATAACACATAGATAGCAAAAGGGGAGGAGAAATGCGCGGCTAATGGCAGGCTTGTCTGTGATCTACACAATGAGTCGTGAGTTTTTCCACGCAGGCTCTTTTTAACAGCACCGCCAACCCCCACATAAACCACTGGTTCTGACCAACCAGGAACTGTTTACTGTAGCAACTCAAACATTTTGTTTGTCACTGAAAAGTGCACAGACAGTACAAAATGCCTCTGTTGCTTAAATGTAAATAAATAATCTTTTTGTGCGTTTTTATTAAAGTGTGTATTATTTACATTTAGCCGTAGAGTTAGTTGTATTTATGATCTTTATTAGTATTTAAAAACACAAATTTAGTTCGTTTTTTCTTTCTTGATCAATTGAGTGTTACATTTAAAAATCTTGTTTTACTGAATTTGAGTTGTCATGCACGTCTACGCGGTAGTCCCACTGAAATAAGCAAAGTACAATGCGTAACCAAAACAAAAGATTTGGCGTACATAGGTTTGCTGAGGAAAAAACTAAAAAATGAAGTCATTTTGCTACCCCAGTGTGAGCCTGGCCACCCTTATAAAAACTGCGTGCATCCGCCACTGGCTGCCCCTCCACATGCCAGATATTATATTATTCTATGAAATAGTTTGTTATCCACCCTTATTTTGTCACAGCATTTAAAATAATATTTTAGGCCAGTTCCTTCTTGAAATTGCAGAAAAGTTGCATGGACTTGTTCATTTCCTTCCAGCCATTGAGAGAGTCTGGAAGGGGCCCAGTGTGTAGCTGTTTACAAGCAAGCAAGGATGAAATGTGTGGATTGTAGGTGTGTCTGTGGCATTCTCTACTCCCTGCCCCAAGGGAGCTCTGGGTCTACTTTTCACACAGACAGCTGCCACAGTTGGTTTTTTTTTTCTGTCTTTCTCTCTGTAAGAAGCTGACTGGACGTTTTGCTGAGCTGGTAACAGTGTGTGAGGACAGCATGATAGAATACATAATGGATGGCCTTTTTGGTCTTTTTTTCCCTGAAATTAATTCAGTCATTGTCATCCCTGATGTATGAATTCCAACACTGTACACTGAATATGGCACTGTAATAGATAATTCTGTCTTAGAAATGGGTGGAGGTGCGAGTGGTGGGAAGTTAAACTTATTTTTTGATGCCCTGTTCCAGTTTTCTTGCTCCCAAATGGAGGACTTGAATACAAGCCTACAAAAAGTCCTACACAAAACAGCTGTATAGCACAAATATAGGTAAATTATGTGGAAAATCTGAAAGGTTATGAATAATGTTTTAATTAGTGGATATTGCTTCCTTACAAGACAGTTAATTGTTGTCTATAGAGCTTGCTTTGCACAAACTTTCCAAGAAATCTTTGCAAGGAACATGCACTGATCTGTCTCTGGATCATTAACTAAAGCAGTAATGTATCATCTGAACTGTAAGCTGTTTGTACCAACTTCATATCTGCAGATGAAAGTTGCATTTGACTCTGAATTTAACTCAGGGTATCAGCAAACACCAGGTTAAAAAGGAAACACCCTCGTAATGTTGTTGACAAGAATATGCTTCCAAGTTTTTTTGAAGGTGTTGGCATACATGTGTAGACTCCCCTCTTGGGAACTGGCCTTGCAGGAAGCTCACGCTAACCCATCAAATCTTTATTACTACATTGTTCACCAGATGTGTGCAGGAACTGTATAATTGCTGTGAAGGCTGGCGTGTGCATGTTTTGTGTTTAAAGTTGTAAAGTCTAAACGTTCATGTTTGCACTTATGTACTACTTCAAGTCAATGCTTGACTCACAATCATGAACATCAGTCCAATACACTAACACCAGACTATTAGGTAAAATGGTAGCTGATTTGCACTTATGGTCTGACTAACTGTAGTTATTCACACTACAGGAGTTTAAACAGCATAATAGATTTTAAAGTTGGTTGCAATAGGTGTGTAAGGAGTAAAAGAAAGTATTGGAGCATCACAGACTACAGGATGTTTTTAAGGTTATCGTGGCAGAGGGAGCAATCAGGGAGCAGCGTGCCATCTTGTGTAATCTCATGGCTGAGAAATACAGTTTGTCTTTTCTTCAGCAAGACCTGCAGGTGATATTTAAACTCTTAGTTGAGACTCAACATCTGCAGCTAACGTTAGCCTGAAGCAGTGCAATGTTTAGTGTTGGTTGGCAGGAACATTTCTTGCTCTGAGCACTTCTGTGATAATGATGTTCTGTTAAATAGAACAAGTTTGATATTAATTCTGGTGGTCCGATGAGTCTGTGAGCAGTTCAGGAGGCTTCACACTGGATCTGTCAGTCTTTCATAATACCAAATAATCTGGACTCCACATCAATTTAGACCAACATCCCAGACCAGGTTGGTCCTCCAGTTGTTGCGAGGCCTGAAACTCCTGTGAGCCTGACTTTAGGTTCTACAATGCACTTAACAATGTGTCTCATCACCAATTCTGATACCATGCTCACCTGATAATGAGAGCAGCTTAGGGTTAAGTGCTGTGCCCAAGGCCATGTCAGCACATAAAGGGGGCAGGAATTAAAATTTGAAATATATATATATATATATATATATATATATATACCTATAATTTGACATCTGAATCAAGAAATAATAATGTGCTTTAATTTTTTATTTTTTTGGTATAACAATCAATTTGAAAATTCATGGATAACAATAATAGTTACATTTTAGCATTAAAAATATCGTTTTGGTTAAAGGGCTTTAACATACTAGTGTATTAACGTTTACAGAAACATCAAAATGATGGTGGTAATTACCTGTGCTGTTAATTTAGGGCAGCTGTAGCGTAAACCATACATTGGGTGGTGGTCTAATACATTTGTTAAGCTCTGTATATATATATATATATATAAGAATGATTATTTAATTTGTTGATACCTTATGTTGTTTTTCCATGACCCTATTTTTTTTTTTGCCAAGTTTAAGTTCTAAAATGCCATTTGACATGAGTTCTTTGGTTTACTTTTCTTTGTGCAGCTGCCTCTTAAACAGGTGAAACAGCAGGCAGTCGTAGGTCACGTGTCAAAGAGAGAAGATTGTAGCTCAAGACCTGTTTGTTGTTTTAACAGGAAAACTGAGCAAAATTCAGTTAAGACTGGAATAAGGCCCTGCTTTCAGGGGTGTTTGCCTGTCAGGCTTGTGTAAACATATAGCTACTGAAGTCTTGCTAACAAGCTTGTGTGTAGGCGTGTGCATGTGTAGAAACTCTATCTAGGACCTCATGTGAATGGTTGGCTAGCGTTCACATTTGAACCAAAACCAATGTCATTTTAGGTATTTTACCCTGTAATAAAAGTAATAATAATGTCATTTCAGTTGTAATAAATGAAGGCAGACTTCTGAATTTCAACATTATTTATTCATTTCCTTTTTAATTATGTAATTATGACATTGTTTGAGGTACTTTCCTGCAAATATTTTTAATTGCCAAGTAGGCTGTTCTCTGACTTTGTAACCTGGGTGTGACGCATGCGTAAGGGGACCTTGCTGTGGAAAGTGAGTGACTCTCTGGTGTGTGTGTGTGTGTGTGTGTGTGTGTGTGAAAAATAATGTTAATAATATAGAGGTGATCAGGTTACTGTAATCAATCATAAAAGCATTTAGTTAGTCCAAGATGTTTGTGTAGCTGTTATCCAAACACAGAATTGTTGTATTCACTGCTCTGAAGATGGAAATACAGATCTAGTTCATGCAACATTGCCATGGTGTCTCCCAGCAAATGGTAACCTTCGGGGAAAATTTCATGAAGGTCATTTTATGAATGAAACCTTGAGGTATCCTGAAAGTTTCCTAAAGCTTAGATTGTGAAAACCTAAGTGCCTAGAGGCAACATTTTAGGGGTGTTCTCTATGCCTGGGCGATAAAATGATAGTAATATGTAGGATAGGATAGAATACAATATAATATCTTTATTGTCATTGCAATTTGCAGTGGAATTGGTCACTTCTCTAGTGCATAATAAATAAATGCAAAGTGCATAGATAGTCATCGTCACTCAGGTTTAGACAGTATGAGTGTTTGACAGTGTTCAGTTCTTTGGGTCTGAGGTAGGAGCTTTGTTTCAGTTCGTTTGTCTGTGATTTGATGGAGTGAAGCATCTACCTGAGGGCAGTCAGGCAAACAGATGGTGTCCAGGATGGGAGTGGTCCACAAGAATGTTTGCTGCTCTACTAAGGTTACCAGAGCTGAATAAGTCCTTCAAAGAAGCAATGAACGAAGTAGGCCTTGGCTATTCTGGAGAAAGAGGGAGGGAGAGGGAACTGCCACTAGGCGGAGCCGAGGTTGATGGCATGACATATCCACGTGGACAAAATTGTTGGTACCCTTCCATTAAAGAAAGAAAAACCCACAATGGTCACTCAAATAACTTGAAACTGATGGAAGTAATAATAAATAAAAAATTACTGAAAATTAACTAATGATCATCAGACATTGCTTTTGAATTGTGGTTTAGTTTAGTTTAGGTTATTTATCTCAAATTTCATATACACACAAAAAAATACAGAATAAGCAATGCATATATAATACATAAGCATTACTGAGAATTCAAGTACAATACTCAATAAAAAAGAAAGAAAAAAAACAGAAAAGATCTGATATAAACTTAATCATGCACATAGACATATGTCAATTTATATCTAGTTTGAGAAGGAACAGAATGAAGCAAAAGCTTATCTAGTCCTGTCCCTTCTTTACAGTGTCAAAAAAACAAAACTAACAAACAAAAGAACAAATAAACCAAAAAAGAAAACGGAAAACAAGACAACAACAATTTATACATATTCACCCAAGGTGCTCATCATGAAAGCAATGCCACAAAACATCTCTTGTAACCTCATCCCAAATCATTATACAATATCCACCTAAAATAAATGACCAAAAACAGCTATGTGCACAGTTCTTAACCCACATGTACAACCTCTATATGCAGTATACCCATAAAAATGCTACATATATTAATAATAAATAAGAAAACAAACAGAAACATGTATAATTCATTGTATTATTTATATAACCCTGATAATACTTGTCTATAGTGAGATTTAACAGAATCAGTTTAAGAAACAAACTAATGAAACTGGCCTGGAAAGAAATTGTAGTACCCTTAGAAAAGACCAAAAATAACTTGACCATAGGGACATGTTGAACTCAGGTGTGTCCTGTAATTAGCATCACAGGTGTCTTCAAACTTGTAATCAGTCAGTCTGCTTATTTAAAAGCTGAAAAGTAGTTGCTGTGCTGTTTGGTATCATGATACCACACTAAACATGGACCAGAGGAAGCGAAGTTGTCTCAGGAGATCAGAAAGAAAATTATAGACAAGAATGTTAAAGGTGAAGGCTATAAGACCATCTCCAAGCAGCTTGATGTTCCTGTGACTACAGTTGCACATATTATTCACAAGTTTAAGGTCCACAGGGCTGTAGCCAACCTCCCTGGATGTGACCGCAGGAGGAAAATTGATGATAAATTGAAGAGACAGAGAATATGAATGGTAACCAAAGAGCCCAAAAGATCTTCCAAAGAGATTAGATGTGGACTCCACGGTCAAGGTACATCAGTGTGAGATCGCACCATCCATCGCTGTTTGAGCCAAAGTGGACTTAATGGGAGAAGAACATGGAGGACACTATTGTTGAAAATAAATCATAAAAAAGAAAGACTGGAGTTTGCCAAAATGCGTATTGACGAGCCACAGGGCTTCTGGAAGAATGTCCTTTGGACAGATAAGTTAAAAAAAAATGTAGCTTTTTGGCAAGTCACATCAGCTCTGCAAAAATGAAGCATGCAAAGAAAAGATGGCTGTACCAACTGTAAAACATGGAGGACGCTCAGTTATGTCCTGGATCTGCTGTGCTGCATCTGGCACAGGGTGTCTTGAATCTGTGTAGGGTACAATGAAATCTCAAAACTATGAAGGCATTCTAGAGCTGAACGTGCTGCCCAGTGTCAGAAAGCTTGGTCTCAGTCGCAGGTCATTGGTCCTCCAACAGGACAATGACCCAAAACCCACTAAAAACACCTGAGGTAAGGGCCAAACATTGGACTATTCTGAAGTGGCCTTCTGTGAGCCCTGATCTAAATCCTATTGAACATCTGTGGAAGGAGCTCAAATATGCCGTCTGGAGAAGGCAGCCCTTAAACCTAAGACAGCTGGAGCTGTTTGCTCATGAGGAGCAAAATATCTGTCGACAGGGGCAGAAGTCTCATTGGGAGTTACAGAAATTGCTCGATTGCAGCGATTGCCTCAAAAGGTTGTTAAGTTAAATGTTAAGTTAAGGGTACCATAATTTTTGTCCAGGTCGGTTTCATGAATTTTTATTCTTTTTTATTTTTTTTTATTTTAATGATTCCGTTAAACCACAATTCAAAGCAATGTCTGTTTTTCATTAGTCGTTTTTTAGTACGTTTTAAATTATTATTGCTTTTGTCAGTTTCAAGTTATTTCAGTAACACATTGTTCGTTTTTTTCTTCTTAAACGGAAGGGTACCAACAATTTTTGGTGTGGGGTCCCGTCTTCAGAATACTGTTCCATTGCATACACTGCTGTCTGTCCTGTGTTGTATAGGGATGAAGTTTCCTGTGGATCTCCTGGCTGAAGTTAGCCTGGCAGAGCTGGAGCGGTCAGCCCACAACTACATGAACAACCTCCTGTACAGCAACCCTGATTCTCTTGAGCATCTAACCGTCTCTGCCTCCACCAAGGTAAAACACAACACAGGCTGGACATCTTTAGTGAACAGTGTGCTGTCTTTAAGCCATTAATAAAGTCACAAACATCAGCCAGAGCAGTATTAGGGTCTTAGAAAGTGTATTGAAACTCTTGCAGCTGGACCTGTATATAGCAAGCCTGCCAGAATTATTCAAAGACTCAAAGTAGAACATCAACCACAGCTCAAAAATATACAAAGTTTACATTACTGTGAAAATTAGAGTTTGTGGATATACTTATTAGTGGAGTAAGACGCTGGTTGGATGACTTATTTACTCATCAATTAGGATGTTGTGGCTTTTGGAGCAGCATAGATCTACTGTTTGCATCCACATAGTAGCTGCTTATAAAGATCAAGCATGTTTGCAGTGGTGTGTTGGCCAATTTGCGACTTTACAGATCTTCTAATGATTTGTCCTTGGGCAATGTACCCAGATTTGATAACTGACGTACTCAGTTTAAAAAAAAAAAAATCTCTTGACATGGATTAGGAAATGTAGAGAATTTGACTGCTAATAGAAATGCAACTTTACCAGTGTAGCAGTTCACTGATAGTCCAGCTTCTGTGTTTCGATGTTTTTATGGGATTTTAAGTTATTTAGGTTTTTTGTTTTGTTTTGTTTTTTTAAACTGTGGCCTTAGAAGTTAAACTTTTTATTAGATCTGCCCCTTTTGTCAAAGTAATTAAAATGTGTGTAGTTATATATTAAATGCTTTCTCATTAATTGAAACTTTTATGTGTTTGTTGAAATGCCTTTTTAAATTGACAGATACCGAGGTGGTTTGAGAATGTGCGTAACACAAGGTTTTTTTAGCTGCTGATTTGTCATTGACTGCGCAAATTAACCCAACTGGTCCCACAGACTTCACATTTCATTAATTTTATAGTTGATTACTTACTGATTAGACAAAATGGGTCTATGTCCACATCACTTTATGTACATGGCCCCTCGACACTACTAAAAACCAAAACCATTCCTGTGGGTATCTATAGTGGGACTCCTGCCACTTCATCCCTGCTGCAAGCACAAATTCAGCTTTGTTCTCCATCTCTTGAGTCATTGATGGAGTGGGAACCTATTTAGAAGGTCATAGTACAGCCACTGAATTTATAAATCATCATCATATCGGCGGGTTATACTTTTTTCTGTTAAGACAGCAGTTTAAAAGAGGGATGTCACAATACCAGAAATTTAATAGATACCACTCAATATCCATGACTTTTGACACCTAATTCAATACCAAAGTAATAAATCAATCAAATTAATGTATTTCAAGCTCAAATTATCAGCTTTTTTTCTTCCCCCCCAACATGTTGCAGAAAACGTGCTGCTACACCCCTACTTTCTGTTTGTTGTTGTTATTGTTCAGTAACTCTAGAACCCTTGACATTCATGGTGCTTTGAGTCCCAGATAAAAATAAAAACTAACATTTTTAGAACTTTGGCATTGACTTGGCACTGAAGTATCAGTTCTCTTTCCCTGTTAAAAAAAAAAAGCAAAGCTTTTCTTTTGTCAGTATCGATATATCATTGAAACTACACATGAAGCGTGGTGTAGACGAGAGACTTGTGATTTTGTGTACTAACTTGTCTGTCTGTCTTCAGATCCCCATAGGTATTTCCAGCGTAGGCTTCATCCCTCTGTATGGATCCACTGATGAGTGGAAAATCTTGGCCCTCTTTTCACCCAGTGATCCATTCGTAGCAGTGGGTCTGTACCTGTTAGACCGCTGGTGGGCAGTGGAAGATATTCTCAAGACAGCAGACCCTACTCGAGATGGAGTTGTGGAGGTATGACAAGAAGTTTTACCACCTAATAAATCTACTCAGAAACAATACAGGATGAGCACAGAGTCAGAAACACCTGACAGTATAGTACAATACAGTACAGCAGCACACACAGAACTTGAAATCCCAAGGATCTTAATAACAAATCTGATATGAGAATAAATGAAAAAATGTAATGACTGATGTTACTGTTCATTTTTGAAATATTTAAAATTTACTTTGGTACAATTGGAGGGAGAGTGGTGTGCATTCTATCTTTACATACAAAGTGACCTGTCACAAATTTGAACATATATGTGGCAATGTTTTGCTATGTTGAAGATAAAATGGTTTTCTATGTGTGTGTTCCTTAGGTGCAGACAGTCGGGGAGAGAATAGTTTTATACATCCTTAATCGTGTCATCTATAGAGGCAGGGAGATGACCTCTGAGGAGCTTCCCTTCCTCTGTCACGGAGAAAAAGATTATGCAAAAATTGTCTGGAATAATGGGGAGGCAGTAGGCTTCTATTCAGTCAAACCCTCAGGTAATGCACATTTATCTACATAGATGTATATTATCTGTTCATCTGCTTACATTTTGTATTTGTTACAAAGAACAACATGTTACAGAGCTTTTTATAAATGTTTAAAATCTGTAGTTTGAGTTTTTGTGTCTGTGCAAGACCTGGGGGCTGTACTGTGAAAATAATTTGGCATTAGCAAAGTAACTTCCTGTTTAATCCAGGGTTTTCCCAGCTAGCCTATTTGTAATATCTATGGTCTTGAACGAAAGAACACTGGTCTCAAAAATACTCTTGCTCCTATCAGAGACCTTTGCACTGTCCATGTACTGAACTCCATGGGATCTATACTACAGATGGCGCTGCCATTTTCCAAGATAATTGATTGTTCAGTAGGTGGTGCTTTTACACATCTGTAAAAATGAAGTGTGCAGCATAACTTAACCTTGTGATGTCCCCCTTAAGAAGTGAACTGCCATCGTAATCCCAAAAACCCAGAGTTAAATTTGGAGTTACCTCACTAACCCCAAATCCTGCTCATAGTACAGGCCTCAGGTTTAGTCTATGTATGCTAAACTTTTGATTCATTCCTGTCTGACTTAGTCTTCATGAATTTGCTGTCTTTTTTTTCTCTTTCAGGGAGCATATGTAATTCTTTTTCAGTCAGAACCTATCAGCTCCCTGTGATGGACTCCATATTTGTTAGAAAATGTCAGCGTCGTAAAGGCTTCGGTCTTCAGATGCTCGTGGACTTTGTGCTCAGTTTTAAAGAAGAGTCTTTGGGCTTGAGGTACCCCCTCACAAAATCAATGTATAAAGGTACATAAGTCTACACTGCAGTGGGTGCACTTTACGTCTGTGATTCTATGTTCCCCAGTAATTAAATCAAAAGCTTTACATTCATATAAGTTTCCTGCACTTCTCTTTGTTCTTAGTGTGTGAGAAGTACCTGTGTCAGTACCCAGGAGATACAGATCTGCTGTGGGAGGTGGAGAGCATCGGTGGGCCCAACCAGAGGACCAACATTGCCAGGAAGATCATGGCCTTAGATGTTTGTGGTAAGAAAGAATAACAACTGCATTATAGTCCTAGACCACTAAATCAGGTCGTATAGTGTAATTCAAAAGATTTATCGATTGTATTTTTAAATTGTCTTAAAATGATCAAACATTCTTGTGATGTAGATTATGCACTGTAAAAACACTGAACGATCTTTACATGTGTGTACTTTGGTAAGCATTCCAACATTGCCTGTTTCTCTGCAGTATCCAAGAGTCTCTCTTTCTCGGAGGAATCACTTGTGACTCCTGATATGGCTGAAAAGGTGCTGAAGGAGACAGTTACTGTGGAATGCTCAGTTGACACTATGGTACAAGTAACTATTTATTCCAAACAAAGAAACATTGATTAATGACACAAATACTTTTGCAGAGTAAGAATAATCCCTCTGATTTTAATTTGCAGGATGAACTGACTGTACTGAGAGCTACCAAAGGTTAGCATGTAATCAAGTGGTGTCTACATTGTAAACTTCCCCCATATATTATATATTGACATAAGGATCATTTACTATAATAAAAAGCATTCTAACAATTTTCATTTTCATTTCAGAGATCGATGATGTGCCTGTTGCAGGTCAGGGTAGGAGCAGTGGTTTAAAACAAAGGAAAATTGGAGAAAAGATTACAGAGGACAAATCAGAAAAAGTTATCAGGTCTGTATGAATTAAACTGTGCCACTCTTAGCTAGACTAGAAAGTACTATAAATAGTATAGTATAACAACAGATAGATATACCATTCCGCTCTGGGTTCCTCCATCATTCAGTGTAACAAATGTCTAGACTAAAACATGTCAAAATAAATAGCTGAACCTACCCTTTTCAATGGTGCTAGCTGTGTACTAAAAAGTAATCCTGGTTTAAAGTTATTTCTGCATCATCTCTAGCGTAGCGCTAACGATACAGCCCACTTTGTATATATATATATAAACATACAATAAGCTAACGGATTTACTATTTATTGCAATGATTCAAAAGTTGATTCACAACACAATGTTCAAGAAGACAAAAGTGGTCCTAGAATGCTTAGGGGGCCCAAGTTAAAGGGGCCACAAATAATTGCTTGGTGCCTAGCAGAAATAAATACCATTGATTTATTTACTGTAGCGTGCACATACAGTAGTCTACTTACAAAAGTCGAAAATTAGGCCAATGTTTGGCACCAAATTCTACAATTTCAGTTTCAGAATTTGGTGCCCCTAGTTTGGGAGATAAGCTTAGATGTAAAGGTAGTAAAATATTCCTTTAAAAAGGCCTAGGGTTCATGGGGTAAAAAGCAAGCAAGCATGTTCATATGTATACATAAGTACTTTCTGATATTCTTGATTGTAGTTTATTTATAAAAGATAGCGTAATTGATAATTTTTTTCTGTATTTCTTTAAGGCCTAAAACTCATTAATTGCTGGCAATTTTATTGTTGGGTGATTTCTTCCTGCTTTCTTCCTCTGTAAACTTTTAAAAGTCCAAAATCATTACTCCTGCCTGAAATTAACAAATGCTATTTAACATCTTTTAGAATCGAGGACATTGAGGCAGAAAACCCCAGTGTGGAGCGAGTTTCTGTTCAACGAAAGAAAGAACTGCATGATTCCTATGAACTGGAGCAAACCGAGGTGTGTGTGTATATACAAATTTAGGTTTGCGTGTTTGTGTCTATGACCACTACAGAAAGTTTGTGATTAATTGATTTATTTTTAGGTTTTGTTCAGTGTTGCTAAAGAAAAAGCAGAAGATGTCGTGGATACTGCACTTGAAGGAGAACCAACTATGAAGTCAGACAAACCAGCAACTGTCCTGATGTCAAAAGATTTAGCAGAAGCTGATGTTACATTAGCAACTACAACCGAAGAGGAACACGTAGAAGATGATCTCACACAAGGTCTGAACAACAACTCACATGGCTCTCAGATAACAGTTGAGAATGTGGCATCAGAAACTCAGGAATCAGAGGTGTTTGAGAAGGAGGAAGAAGCAGACATTCCATTTGTAGGGGGTGCTGAGGAGAATATTGCAGCAGAAGAAACTGTCACACAAGACGTTCCAGATATGGGACAAGTCGACAGTACTGAGACAATTACAGATGATGATACAGAGGCTTTAGTTGTAAAGGCAGATGAGGGAACAAC